GTTTCAACCACGCCTAAGCTTAAGCCTCAATGATGCCTGATCGTAATCCTGATCTTAAGTTGAAGCGTAATCGTAAGCCCAGTCGTGACCCAAACTAAATTTAAGCCTATAATTTGACCTATGCCACAGGTTAAGACAAAACTGATGCCTAAGATTGTGCAGAAGATTATGCCTAAGTGGAAGGCTAACCCGAGGCTTAAGCGTCGGTCCTTTAAACATCTAATCCTCTAATCTATCTAAACATCTAATCCTAAGCAAGCTAATATACCAAAGCATATTCCTGAGCTGAGGGCTAGCTTAAATCCAGGCTTTGGCATAAGAAGTGTCTACCCTAGGACTAAGCCGTGATGCCCACAATTTTAAATCTGCGCTTAAGCGTAAGCATGTGCCATATCTTTAGCGCAGTCTTGAATCTGACCTAGGTTTGACTCTATGCTTAAGCATGATACTGAGACCTAGCTGAAGCCTAAATTTTAGAAATACTTAATCCTGAACTTAAGCCTAACGTTAAGTTACATTGTAAGTCTAAACTGCTGTTTGAGCTTGAGCCCAAGTTAAAGCTTACTACGAAGGTTGGTATTACGCCCAATCCTCACTCTAACCCTAATCCTGAGCCTGAGATTAAAACAAAGAATATGCCTACCCCGGATGCTACTCTGAGCATGACCTTGAACATAAGACAAAGCCAAAGTGTGAGAATTAGCCTAATCTTAATGCTAAACTTAAGTCTAAGCTTTAGGCGAACCTTAAGACTGAGCGCCGGCCTGGTTCGTTCCCAAGTTTATGCATTAGCCGAAGCTCACGCTTAAGTTTAAGGCATTAAATTAAGCCACTGATTGTGCTTTTGCTTAGGCACATTTTTTTTCGAGTACTCTGTCCTTGTCCTTGATATCCCAGATGGCATTGACAACAACAAAGTTAAGGTTAATCTTTAAACGGAGCCTAAACCTAAGATAATGCCGCTTTGTATGCATAGGAATGAAAATAAATTTAAATTTAGGTTAGAACCTAAGTCTAAACTGAATCCTGATGTTTCAGTGCTTAGTTCTGAGCAGCAAGTCTATGACTACACTTAAACAAGCGAAGGCTTACGATTTATCTGAAACTTAAGGCTGTGCTTAGATTCAAGCCTAAGCATTTGCTTCATCTTGAGCCTAGCCTTAAGTCAGCTTCATGCTAATGCTAATTCTGACTCTAATTCCGAATCTAATCATATGATTTAACCGAATATGACGCACAAGCCCCAGGTTAAGCCTAAGTTTTAACGTAGCCCTGAGACAGCACGCTAAGCAGAAAATGAAGCTTACGATTCATCCTGAGCTTGTGTCCAAGGTTCGACATAATCCTGAGCTATGGCTTAAACCTATGCTTGATCATAAAACTTAGCTAGAATTTAATAAATATGCGTAAGCTAAAATTTAATCTTGAACCTCAGCGTAAAGCGTATACTTAAGCTTAATTTTAAGGTCAAATTTTATACCTGGGCTTAGGCATCAGACTAAGCTCGAGCGTATGCTAATACCTGAGCTTGAGTTAAGATCAAATTCTAGTGTTATACAGGCAGTAAATAGAAAACCTGAATCATCAGGCGTCTAACCTTGAATATATTTTACTGTCGTGTGATCTTATGGTTTACAAGTTACGTGGTTATGGTTTTGCAGCGGGAAGGCGTAGCTGATGCAGAAGTTTGACAACATACAATTATTGAAGAAAATGTGTCCTTGAAAATGTTAATCAGCTCAGAAATATGGGCATCCGCGGCTCGTTTCTCCCAGCCATGACATACGTGACCGACACTCTCACATATTCGACAGAAGACTATTACATAAAAGATGTCTGTCAGATGACCAGCAATATCATAAAGAAAAATCACTTATGATATCACCCGTCAGAATTTATCCCTGGTCGTTACGACCAGATCTGAAATAGCACTCGTGTTCGTTTTTGAATTTTTTATACTTGGCAAATCTCTTACTTCCAGATTCGTTTTCAAGTGAGTATTCCTGAAAGCCCTGTTGACATAAGCGAATTGTCGACCTTCCAAGCGAACGACGACTACAGTGACCATCTACCTTTGTCTGAGACTAAGCCGCCTTCCCCTGCCGAATGCGAAGAAATCTCCAGAGGCAGGTTGACGACTTTTACTGTATATATAGTGAGCTAGTGGTTTAGTTTGCACTTTAGGTGTTGATATTTAAAACAGCAAACACATATTAAACTTTCAGTTGTTAATTTCGATGCATCCAACCAAAAAGCAACTATCAAGTCGCTGATTTGCGAACATTAGAAACAACATGATTTTCTCATCTGGTCGTGTTAGGCATGCTGCCTGATGATTTCTTTTCACGACTACTGTTCTCTTTAGCCTACTCGATAGCTGACAAAAATTAGCTTTATGTGTATAGAGGTCTACAGCTATAGTATTGTAAGTCGTGTGTTACATTATGTGTTTGTATTGTGTCTAATTACATTGTTCTTTTATTTTCTACAGTCTATGCATGATATTGCCACCTCACTAAACTGAGTTTTGCGGCTTCATGGTACGTACCACTTATTTCTAGTTTCCAAGGACGCTGTCTGAGCTGGCCGTAGCTCCACTGCATTTTAGCTCTAAGTGTTATTTATGTATCATATATGCTATATGTTAAAGTATACGTGCTACCGTCAGCAGTGGTAAACTGTATATACTTGTTTTGATCAGAATTGAGGCACAATTTTGCCCATGCCTTTATATCTCATTTTTGCCACATTATCACTAGGTTGCCATTGTACCTAAGCTTCTGCTGATTTAATTTTCGTTGTATCTTATTTTGAAGCTCACGCTTCGGCATAGTGATATTTACGTGGTAATGCTGCCTTACATTTTTATATTTTTTAAAGTCTTTTACTTGAATTCTTCTGCTGTATTGTTTCATCAAAATATATGCCTTCGATCGCGAATGCGCTGAAAGCTTGATGAAATGGTAACATACCGTATTGTGGTTATTCCGGTCATCCGTTCGCTAGCAAAAAAAAAGTTTTCCATTTTTTTAATGAAAGCTAATGTATGGCCATTGCTAGGACTGTTTTATAAAACTTGTTGTATGCAATCACAAGTAATATAACGGTTGTATTCTATGAATACAAGGGTAACGTTTCATCTACAAATGACAGTCGACATAATAGCATAAGTCTAACTGTAATTCTGATCAATTAGCTGATTCTTTATTGAACTAACACAAGCCGCAAGTGGTAATAATTTTTTTTCAGACACTCCTGTTGATGCGCAGATGCGTGGTTTGAGCATGCATTCCAAGGATGGAGACTACAGCAGCGTGTCATCTAGCGAGACAGTCCAACTGAACTGTATGAATGTGAATAAGGCGCTACTGTTGGCCATGAGATGTGAACGTCTGGCCGCATGTCAGAGCTGTGATGTCAGAACGTCAAAGATGAGTGTCAGAGATTTGGCATTACGTCCTTGCAAACTCTCCGCCAAGTGGGCTATGCCCTCTACTTCATCGTCGATGGAAGGGCCCTATGTTGATAGGACGAAGTTCATTCATTGTGTGAGAACAGCTGAAACAAAACTCTTGAAAAGCTTTCCTGATATACCGGCCGACGAAGGATCGCTTCTTCGGCTATACGAGGGCAGTCGAGAAGTTCTTGACCTGATGTACGACACGATTCTAAAGAACGACTTTTGTGGATGCACTGAACAGGAAATTCAGGTTGGTTCGTCTTTGCCTCTTAACGTAAATTTGAAATTATATGTTTATCAATTAGAGTAAGTATTAGGCACTTGTTCTGTTGCTGATACTGTGTGGTAACTGCTTTATATGGGATCGCTAAGCGTTTGCTTTTCTGACTGTGGAGGGAAATAAGTGTTGCATGTCTAGGAAACAACTGAAAAGAGAATCTTTCTGAAATAGCATAAATTTGCATTTTTTTATTTGTAGACCTAAGTTATCCCCGCCCCCTCCTGCCTACTAAGTTGATCGTGGTCCAAGTCACCAGTCATGGGGCATCATTGTGTTCTGACTATGACTACAGGAGCATTTATGAAGTGCCACTGTGAGAGAGTGTTTTTCAGGGTATAAGCGCCGCAAGGTACAGGCTTGTGGCCATAGACAAATAGCCAGATGATGTATTTGTATGAGTGGACACCACAGATGTTGAAATATTCACGTTTTTGCCAAGAGGTTGAAGATGATTAAGACTAAATAACAAGAAAACGTCCATAAGTCACCAAACCCGATAACTGAATATGGAAAATTTAACAGTTTTCTAGGCTAAGTCCATTTACGCACCGTGCCGTGACAGATATTCAGAATGTGCGTAGATATGTTGGTTCAAGCCGGATGTGCGTAGATAAGTTGGTCACTTGGTTGTTGGAAAAAAATTAACAGTAAAATCTCATTTTGTATTCATTTTCACGACTGTTTTTTGATTGGACTGATTTTAAATTGTATTTCAACAGATTACGCTAATTTGAACACAAATTGGAATTCAAGGATTAGCCAGAAGGTTCAGAAGATAGCTTAATTCTTTATCCTATTCACTTACCCATTCACAGAACGATATAGTTATGCCATGCCAACTTAGAGAAAATAGCGTATTCATTCATTCATTAATGAACTAGCGTATTCGTTAACTCGAACTCGATTTCTTGTTTATTCACTCAATCATTCAATTATCGGTTGACATGTCCTCTATCGCACTCGTCTCGCCCTTTTTCTGTTCCTGTGCCTATGCATCCGTAGGTCCCTTCCTTCCTTTGTTCATTAGCTAATTTTTTTCAATTTATTATTCACTAATCATCTGATTCATCCATGGCTATGATTGCTCATTTATTCGTTCAAGAACCTTCACTCATTCACACTATTAATCTGAGATGAGCAGAGCTGATAAGCTGCCGTTCTCCACATTAAGGCCACCGGCAACAACTTTCATGGATTGTCCCAGTCATATACAGATTTCCTAGTTTGTTCATTCGTTCATTCACTTGTCATCGCATTCATTGTCGCATTCACTTATTCACTCGCTAATTCCTTCAGTCATTAGCCAATCAAATTAATCACTAGTTTACGTTTAAGTTTACACTTATTAAGTTTACTTTCGTTCATTTATTCTGAACTGTTTATTAGCAGTATATTTTTGAGAGGATCATTCAGAGTTCATTTTACCTTCGAGTGTTATGTTTTAACAGAGTAAAATTATCGGCGTTGTTTAGCCAAGTAGATGATGATAAAAGAACCTTCTGGAAGATATGCAAAACGTGCAGCTGTTCTTATAAACCAGTATGCCGATGCACTCCATCTCCGTTAGA